CTTCGGTTCCGGATACCCTGCATTTTTTAAAGGAACCGGAACCGACGGTTCCTTGAAATTTGGAACCGGAACAGAAACCATCGGTTTCGGTTCTTAGGTACCCAGAACCGGACCCTGTAACAATGGTTCTAGTTCTAGTTCTGGGTACCTTGTAAAATTACAATGACCCCCCAAAAGTTTTTAAAATAGCAAAAAAACCCCTTAAAAACTTACAAATACCCCCCATCTGGAACTTGTTAACAAAAATAAAATTACAAATTATAAATTCAAAATTACAAACTCCATTACTTTGTAAAGATAGATTTTCAAAAGTCAAACCAACTTACTTTAAATATTATTAAATATAAATATAAATATATTCACATTACTTTTTCTACAAAAGTTTTTATTAACCCCCTACTCTCTAATTTTATTTTATATTAGTCTCAATTCCTGGTTCCGGTTCTGGTTCCTAACTATAAGAACCGGAACTGCATAGTAACGGTTCCAAAAATTTGGAACCGGAACCTACCCGTTGACGACTGGTTCTGGGTAGGAACCAGAACCAAACCTCAGGTACCCGCCGGTTCTGCTTCCAATTAGTTCTTTTGAACACCCCTAGTGTGGTGCTTGCACTGTTAGCTTTACCTCTATGTAATTGTTATATTAACCATTAATAGGCGCGGAATGTCACTTATTGGCCCAAGCCTAGATAAGTAAAACGGAATGTCACAGGCCTCAAAATGAGCCGAAGATCCTAGACATTGTTTCGTAAATGCTCTTGTTATATTGAGCCGAAAAGCCACACAAAGAAAGGTATTGCCAAATGGATGTCAACTACCTTACTAGCTTTTGACTTAAAAGTATGTCCATGAAAGCTACTCAATAAGTATGATGGTTACAGTAATAATAATAATATTTAACATTTTATGTGGTTCAAAAAATACAAGTAAATGAGTTGAATTAGAACATCATACAAGGTGTCGATAAATGAACCGATATCAAGATTTACTAGCAGGTGGCAAACGCAATACCACTATAGTTTGTTTTTCAGGGTAATTAAAAATACAAAAGTGTGTATGCGGAGGAGAATGAATGCTAACCACCACTGAGTTGTCTAGTGGTTAACTAAGATTTTTGGGTGTATTATTCAAGAGGTCTTGAGTTCGATCCACCTAGATTGTTAATAGGTGTGACCACTAAGGAGATTTATCCAACTATCAACTTTAGGGTCCCGAAGGATTAGTGTTAGTGTGCCGGTGTGCGCAAATTGGCCTAAACACATCCAGTCAAAAAAAAAAAAAAAACAAAAACAAAAACAAAAATCAAAAGAAGAGAATGAATGCTGTCAAGCAGTTTTGGCTTTTGGGGCTTGCTAGTCGTCTGAGTCTTCTCCTACTCTGTACCCATCCCATGCGCTGGATTGGCAAAGATCAAGTTAATAAATAAATTAATATACAATGCAATAATGCATCACCCTTAACGTGGTCACGTCTCTAATAGATGTAGATATATTTCCCTCAAATGATCCACTTTTCAATATTATATATTTCTCATGTTCCAGGAGGAATTACGAGATAGAGAACAGGCTCAATATATAATAAAGATCATCAATCTCTTCTCATACACAACAGGGAAAAAAAAATGAGTATCATCTTGGCCATCTTTACCTTCATTGTGTTGTCACTTTTATTTCTCTTCTTAACCCTCTCTTTTCTCATAATCAAATCCTATTCAGGCAAATCTTTCAAAGACCCTAGTTATCCAACAGTAAAAGGTACAGTCTTTCAACAGCTCCTCTACCTGAACAAACGTTATGACTACCAAACTCAATTTGCCCGAAAACAAAGCACTTTTCGGCTTCTGGCTCCCGCACTGAGCGAAATATACACAGCCGATATACGAAACATAGAACACATACTGAAAACAAATTTCAGTAACTATTCAAAAGGTCAATATAATCAAGATATAGCCACCGATCTTTTTGGCCAAGGAATATTTATAGTCGGTGCAATTTTTCGGTGCAATTTTTCGGTGGATATAGAATTTTTGATATACCAAAGGTCTATACAGTACAAGAAAGCTATGGACACCGAAAATTTTGCATCGAAAATGTGTACCGGCCTACGTGTACCCTTGACTCACACCACGCCTGATTTTTCTATAATTATTTTTCTAATGAACATGGACTCCCGTCCATATTATATGGACGGTGGTCCATTTACTACGGACGGACGTCCCCATTTAAAGGACGCCCGTCCATAAATAAAATGGAATAATTTTTTTTTATAAAAATTAGGGACGACAGTTCATAAATTTTGGACAGCCGTCCTTAACAAAAATATGAAAATAAAAAAAAAAAAATAAAAAACTTTGGGGACGGCCGTCCATAAATTTTGGACGGCCGTCCCTTACGTTTGGACGGGTGTCCATTACCCTTATGTTTGGACACCCGTCCATAGTTTAAAAAAAAAAAAAAAAGAGAAGTTATTAATGGATCAAAGAAGAAGAAGCTTACTTTGTCCAGCTTCTCAAAAGAATCTGCACTTTGTGGAACCCATCCCCTGATCGCCTCTCCAACCACTGTGGCCAACCAGGCCGGCCACCTTGCTGCCACCTGCTCACCTTCTGTAGCTTTGGGAATATTACCCATCCCTGGATGATGTTGAGCAACAACATTTTCCATTTTCTCCCTCTTCCGATCGAAATTCTCACCATGCAACCGAACAGACCCATTCACCTGCTTATCAATCAACATTGTTCTCCCATCATTACTATCATATCGAGCTGAGGCCTTGCTTTGTTCTGTAGCTGTTGCTATCTAACTTCTTATTAAATTTGTATGGCATTCCTGTTATATTAGTTTGTCGATTATTCTCTTCGATTACATATTTTCTCCTTTGTTGATTTCATTGACCATCTACTTAATATTAGTATATCAGGGGGCTTTGCAGATTGTGTCGTAGCACCTTGAATTCTTATTATGTTATATTTGATTGTTGCAGCGGGAATTGTACTCTTTCTTCTTGTGGAGAAATTGGTGAGATATGTTGATGAGAACTCTGGAGAAGCTGAGTCGTGGGGTCATGGTCACCACCACCACCATCATAATAGTAAAAAATTGAAGGATGATGATGATGTTCATGGAAAGAAGCAATCACAATCTTTCTGTGGAACTAAAGAAAAAGTTTCAGATCAGGTGTCTGAAGACTCTTTGAATAGAGATAGTGTTAGTAACATTGTACATGTCAAGCTGAGGCCTTGCTCGATATGATAGTAACGATGGGAGAACAATGTTGATTGATAAGCAGGTGAATGGGTCTGTTCGGTTGCATGGTGAGAATTTCGATCGGAAGAGGGAGAAAATGGAATATGTTGTTGCTCAACATCATCCAGGGATGGGTAATATTCCCAAAGCTACAGAAGGTGAGCAGGTGGTAGCAGGGTGGCCGGCCTGGTTGGCCACAATAGCTGGAGAGGCAATCAGGGGATGGGTTCCACGACGTGCAGATTCTTGAGAAGCTGGACAAAGTAAGCTTCTTCTTCTTTGATCCATTAATAGCTTCGTTTTTTTTTTTTTTTTTTTTAAAGTATGGACGGGATGGACGCCCGTCCAAAATTTATGGACGGTTGTCCCCAAAGTTTTTTTATTTTTTTTTATTTTCATATTTTGGTTAAGGACGATAGTCCAAAATTTATGAACAGCCGTCCCTAATTTTTATAAAAAAAAATTATTCCATTTTATTTATGGACGGGCGTCCTTTAAATAGGGACATCCGTCTGTAGCAAATGGACCCCCGTCCATATAATATGGACGGGAGTCCATGTGAGTGAAAGGTCGTCCATATTTGATGGACAACCATTCACTAAAAAAATAATTATAGAAAAATCAGGCTGGGTGTGAGTCAGGGGTACACGTAGGCCGATATATATTTTCGATATAAAATTTTCGGTGTCCGTAACTTTGTTGTTATACAATATGCATCACAAAGCAACAAAAGAAGATCCATTTCAAGCAAGTGGGATATTCTATCTTTGTAAAGTGGGGAGGACTTTGGGGTTTTTTTTTTTTTAATTTAAGAGACAATAACTGCAATCTAATTTCTCCGCGTATAAGCTTTCCAAGAGCTTCACGACTTCCTTTTGATTGTGGAAAAGTTTGATGTTCTTTTCTTGTCAGATAGATATATTTGAATTTAAGAGACAATAACCGCAACCTAACTTTCCACATATAAGCTTTTCAGGAGCTTCACGGCTTCGTCTTTAACCTTGGAAAAGAGTGATGTTACTTTTTTGCCAAATAATTAATTAAATTTGTTATCACCATATTGTGTAATAAGCTTAAAAACTCTAATCACTCAAATAGCAATATATGAATGTATAAATATTTTTCTTATAGAACTAAAATTATATCAAAAAAAGAAACGTTTAACAACAATTATATAATTTGAAAAGAGAGAAATGTCATACGGATACCGTTGATGTTCTCTCTTTCTACAATAATTGTCTATATAAATGTCAACTCAAATTTAAGAAATAAGAAATTATAAAACATATCCCAGTAAAATAACAAGGGAAGTAACAATACTGTTTTTTTTTTTTTTTGAAACAATAAAAGAAATAAAATGGATTCAACATTCAACCCTCTATTTTTATTAATCTGAAGATTATGACAAATATTGAGATAGTATTAAACTTAAACTCAAAAATTGATGTGATATTAAAAATGATTTAAATAATTGATGTGACATTAAAAATGATTTAGATAAATAACCTGACAAGTTAAAAATCAAAACACGCAATCAAGTCGGTTTAATTATGTGAAATTATTATGTATGATTTGTGTTCCTATATAATATAAGCCGGCAGGATATTATATAGATGATGTTGATGGGTCCATTTTACAAGGGAAAATGGGATTTTTTTATTTTTTTTTTTTATCACCAGAAAATGAACGCACCGAAAATTTGGAACAAAGAAAAACTTTATTTTATTAATTACACAGCCATTAGCACCAGCAGAAAACAATTAAGAAGAACATTATTATAACCATTCGAACGGCAGTCCAGTGCAGAATCGATTACACATAGCGATCCGTAAATTCGTTTACATCAAACACTTAATTGATAGATCAAAGTACTGAATTTGCCCTGATATTTATATGTCTAGCCATAAGACACAAAGCATTTTTCTTGTGCCTGGTAACACCGGGAAGAGCATCAAAATCTAAGTCTTCCTTCTTCATCCCAGAGGGCATTTCCCAATCAAATTTGTAAAGAAGATTAGCAAGGGCGAGCTCCACCGTTGCAAGTCCCATATATAATCCTGGGCAAATTCTTCGCCCAGCACCGAATGGTATAAACTCAAAGTGTTGACCTTTAAAGTCAACAGAACTACCAATGAATCTCTCAGGGTCAAATTCATCTGGGTTCCCCCAGGCTTCAGGATCCCTTCCTATTGCCCATGCATTCACAAAAACGAGTGTTTTTGGTGGTATTTCATACCCCTCTATGATGGAGTTTTCCATTGTTTCTCTTGGAACTAGAAATGGTGCCACGGGTTGTAGTCTCAATGTCTCTTTCACTATGGCTTTAAGATACGGCAGTTCTTGAATATCATCTTCATCTACAAAACCTTTATTTCCGATTAAAGATCTAATTTCTTCTTGACCTTTTTCCATTGCTCTTGGATTCTTCATTAGCAAGGTCATGGCCCAAACCACAGTAGCTGCACTTGTGTCAGTGCCAGCGATAAATACATCCTGCAAGAAAATGAAAAACACAAAATTACGGGCGTGGAATAATAATTATATTTTGGTTTTTGGAGATATAACGGTAAAAATTAAATATAAAAAAAAACTAAGAAATTAGATTTTGGATTAAGAAAAACATAATACCGTAAGCACTGCTTTCATTTGATCCCAATTAACATCTATTTTAAATCCTCGTTCTTTTCGTATTTGAAGTAAAACATCAATTATATCTTCCTGATCATTTTTAGGTTCCTTGGGATCTAAATGTTCCTCGATGAGTTCCTGATAAAATCTGTCGAATTCCTTAAAGTTGTTTTCGAGTCGACCTATCATGCCTGTAAGTTTGTCAAGCCAGCCCAGGAAGGGAAAACAATCTGAAAAACAGATGCTAGCAACCAAGGCCTGAGCTTCATTAAGTAGAGCATGAAATCTACTTCTTTCAGTTCCTTCATCTTCATACCTCTTTCCAAAACCCAATCTGCAAATAATGGTACTTGTAAGAAACATCATTAGCTCACTTAAGTTAACGGGATTAGAAGCAACAACTGACTTTGATATCTTTTCAATCATACGGGAAACTTCATCTTCTCTGATGGGACGAAAATTCTGAACTCTATTAGAATTGAAGAGATGAACGACACATATTTTCCTCATCTCTCTCCAATAATCATTATATGGAGAAAAAACCAAATCAGAGCAATTGTATGATAACTTCTTGGCAGTAAGTAAGGCAGGTCTACCACAAAATTCAAGATCATGAGTCTTCATGACCTCCTTAGCCATTTTTGCGGAGGAAACTATTAAGACTGGCAAAAAACCAAGACGCAAGGACATAAGGGGGCCATACTTTTGAGAGAGCTTCCACACTTTTTGAGGTTTTGAACCATCAAACTGGTGTAAATTACCGATTATGGGAAGACCCCGAGGGCCAGGTGGCAAACGAATATTTTTGTGGGTTTTGCGTCTTTGGATAAGAAAAAAGAGGAAGATAGGAAGAAAGAAAAGGATGGTAAGGAATGCCATTCTACTATGTTAATTCTACAAAACCATAACCTCAATAAATAGACTTCAGTTATTCTAAAAACTAAGGGAAATGAGACGCTTCTAGGTATTGGAGAACTTTCAAGTTTTACTTTTCATGGTGTTGAAACAAAAGTCAATTTATTACTTACCCTATGATAAAATAACCATGAAACTAGTTGGATAAACCTCGGTCAAGGTGAATCGAACTAAGGATTTCACGGCTAATATCCCAAGAGTCTTTATTCAATCACGCAATCGAGGTGATTTGAACTCAAGACCTCATGGATAATATCTCAAGAGTCTCTATTCAACCACTTCACTCGACCATCTAAAGTGATTCGTATTCTCTTTAATTTATTAAAATAATACAAATATATTTTCTTTATTAAATTAAACAACTTTTTTTTATAATTATGTTACCATCATCTACTTAATCATTCTTAATACTTTATTCTTAACATTCATGTGTTCTAACTTTTATGCTGATAAAAAATAAAAAATATTGTCAAGTCCCACCGCCCCTTTAATCGCATTGATCAAAGTACCATTTAAATTAAAAGTTAAAATTAACTTTTCTTTTCTTTATTATTATTTTTTTATAATTAAGTTACCGAGGATAACGGTTTGGATAGCAGAGCTAGTGGCACTAAGACAAATGGAGGTGAAAGCCTAGTTGGTAAATACGGGTATGGTAAAAAAATAGTATGAAAATTTTACAGATATAATACGGCAAATGGTAAAAAATATATTTATAAAAATTTGGCCATAAAATTCGGATACAGGAAAAATACGATGCGGGTTTAAAACGGTACATTGTCAATAATACGTTTTGAAAAATACGGCAATATCAATCTTAGTTTTAACACTTTTATGGCATACCTGGTTAAAATCAATATAACATCTCAAATGCAAAGTATTCAATTAACCAATAATGCAAATACACAATATATAAATATAACTGATACTCAAATTATAGTCTCCAGACTTAAACTTTAGACAATTCCTCTATCCCTCTTCCTCTCTCAAGCTCTACTTTTCTCTCTGTTCGTCTGTCTCCATGAACCTTCTGCTAATTATAATCTTCTTTCTTCTCTTACCTTATTCAGAAGCCATAAATAACACTTCTGGAAACAACGACTAGAATGCTTATGAATTTTGTAAACCCACATCTTGCAGTCCAAAAGGCCCCCGAATCCGTTTTCCCTTTAGACTCATAAATCAATCAAATTTTTGTGGACTTGAAGGGTTTGAACTGTACTGAGCGGATTATTCCTGATTTCTTTTGTAGCGGGACCCATTTGTGTTAGTGATGAAACAAATCTTTTTTACGCAATGGATGAACATGAGTCCAGCAGCTCCCTGCCTTCATTTTGCAGCGTATATGGAACATTTAGTATTCTGCATGTGGTTGACCCGACTTATTTTTATGAGGACGCTATTGTGAGGGCCTTTACAACACGAAGCATCGACGTTGAATGGAATGCTATTGATGGATGCTATGGCTGTGAAAAATCAGGGAAATACTGTGGATTAAACACTAAAAGCTGAAAACGTGAAGAACTGAAGAAGAAGAAGAACCGAACTGAGGAAGAAGAAGTGAAGAACTGAAGAAGAACCGAAGAAGAGAGATTTGTTTTAATTTTTAGTAAAAACCCACTAAAACGACGTCGTTTTGGGGGTGAGATTTTGTTTTTTTTTTAATTCGCGAATTATACGGAAAACCTTACTATATGCAAATTATACGGCAGATTTTATAAAATATGTATACGTGTGTTTTATACGTGAATTATATGACTGTCCATACAATTCACGTATAATACGCGTTTTTACTAACTAAGGGTGAAAGTAGTGATAACGAAGTGGAAAGTCATGCAAATGGAAATTTGACGGGGACCAGTTCAAGTAAGAAGAGGGAAGGTATCAAGAGGCGTGCCAGAAAAGATACAGCTCCGACTGGTAGGCACCAAAGGAGTCTTTCAATGGATAGTTATATGGGGAATTTAAAGAAACCATTTAACACGTATCCGCATTGTATCGCTTTCAATTTTAACTCATCTTTACAAAAACACAAAATTTTAGCGGTCTACATTGTTGCAATCCCCTATATTATATAATAACAGAATTTTAGAAAATCATCCTTCATAAAAGAAGATTTAAATATTATAAAGATTTTTTTTTTTTTGGGTAATCTAGTAATTTCATTAAAAATAAAAAGAATACAAAGAAGAAGGATCATCTTGGACAAGTCCAAGAGGAGTAATGCTACGGACACCGAAATTTTATACCAAATTTTTGTACCAAAAGACATAACAACTAGTCAGATGCGAATCATGCGATCACGTTAGAGTCTTTCATGAATGAATGACCATCCAACATTTATAGATGCTCTCCCATATTTAATAGACTCTCGTTCATATTATATAGATGTGTATCTATTTATTATATCTGTCCAAAAAAATTTAAAAGCAAAATAATGGACGTTCGTCCATCTCATTTATTTTTATTTGTCTCTTGCTAAATTCAATATTCCATTTTTATTTGTCCTCTTGCTCAATTCAATATTCCATTTTTATTTGTCCTCTTCCTCAATTCAACGCAATTTTTAATTTTATATTACACTATTACCATAGCATTCAGCTCTAATCCTGCTTGTGCCTGCTGATAAGAATTCATAATATCTATTTATTTGTTATATTTCCTCATGTTTTAATAGTTATAAATGCTCAAATCTTGGATTTTGATTATGTTTTGTATTTTGTGGAGTAGATTGAGGAGTTAAATCAAATTGAATTCAAAATCAAGAGATTTGAAGAGGAAAAATCGGAGCTCAAAAAGATATACATTCCAGAGGCGGTTTTTGCTTAAAGCGTGGGCACGTCCTGTTTTCCCGAATGTTCACAAAAGTAGTCAGCAAATAAAACGTGGGCGCGCCTTATTGGATCCGAGGTTTTTGACCTAGGGTTACGAATTTGTTGGAGAAAAATATATGCATGACAGTTGCCAAGACTCCCTATTAAGATGGGATTTGCTTTTAATTAGTTTCCTGATCTAGATATGGTAACTATTATTAGATGGAGTTATAAATAGGGAGATTATTCACAAGAAAAAAGGACATCTCTCTCTCTCTCTCTCTTCTCTTTTCTTTAGGCGTTCTTTTAATTATGAGTAGCTAAATACTTTTCTTCCAACTGAAGGATAATTGAAGTTTTGGTTCTTCAAGATTTGTGAGATCTAAATAATTTTCACTCTTCTTTTATTTCTTCACTATTTATATATCTTCTATGTTTATTAACAATTGTTGTCTTGATTGATTGATGCAAAGGGCCCGTTGTTCAATTATTAGGTCAATAGATTGTCATTTAGAACTTTAAATCCGTAATTGTTTAAATGTTCTAATATTAGTGGTAAAATAACATAGTTGATTATAAAGAGATTTTCGATTTATGTTATGAAGATATATAATCTAGTCTAAATGAATCGAGCTTGTGTATTTGTTGGCTAGAATTGGTAGTCTCTCTAATTATTAATGCTGTCAATAGATTAAATCCTAAGAGCTTGTTTAGGGTTGTTTATTAACAAGGGAAGTAATCAAAGAGCTTGTTTTGGTTATCGAGAAAGTAAGGAGAGATAGGTTGTTAGAGCTTGTTAATAACCATAACCAATTTAGTGAAGAATAGAAGATTTTATCCTTGTATCTGTGATCAATTCTCTGAACCAATTTTGAAATTATACCTTTGGTTGGATATTTGCTTGTAAACCCCACGTTATTATTCCGATGCCCTAAGGTATGAAATTTACCTTTTCAAGTAAGTTTCTTTTTTGAATGGAAGGGTAAAATGATCAATTTACATGTATTTCGAGATGTGGCCATTATAAAGTGTAAAGGGTAATGTCATTGAAGAGAAATGAGGGTAGAATGGTCATAAAGTTGATTGATAAGGTTAAATGACATAAACGGTAACCAAGGGTATAATGGTATTTTCATACAAAACCATATGATTTAAGTGTCCATAAAAGTACACCAAGGGTAAATTATTCATTTACCTAATAGAATTGCTTAATGGTTANGGTTCAGAGAATTGATCACAGATACAAGGATAAAATCTTCTATTCTTCACTAAACTGGTTATGGTTATTAACAAGCTCTAACAACCTATCTCTCTTTACTTTCTCGATAACCAAAACAAGCTCTTTGATTACTTCCCTTGTCAATAAACAACCCTAGACAAGCTCTTAGAATTTAATCTATCGACAACATTAATAATTAGAGAGACAACCAATTCTAGCCAACAAATACACAAGCTCGATTCATTTAGACTAGATTATATATCTTCATAACATAAATCGAAAATCCCTTTATAATCAACTATATTATTTTACCACTAATATTAGAACACTTAAACAATTACAAATTTAAAGTTCTAAATGGCAATTTATTAACCTGATAATTGAACAACGGGCCCTTTGCACCAATCAATCAAGACAATAATTCCCAACTTTTCATGGTCTTGAGAATGAAGATCCTCATAAGCATTTGAAGGAATTCCACGTGGTGTGTTCAAGCATGAAACCGCAAGGAGTGACCAAAGAACAAATCAAATTATGTGCTTTTCCATTCTCGCTGACTGAAAAAGCAAAGGATTGGTTATTTTATTTACCCCCTGGCTCTATAACCACATGGATGGAGATGGTGAGATTGTTTCTTGATAAATTTTTCCCTGCCTCACGAGCTGCTTGCATTAGAAGGGAGATATGTGGAATAAAACAGAAAGATACAGAGACCCTTCATGAGTATTGGGAAAGATTTAAGCAACTCTGTGCAAGCTGTCCACAACATGGAATTTCTGAATAGCTCCTCATTCAATATTTCTACGAAGGGCTCCTACCCATGGAAAGGAAGATGATGGATGTAGTAAGTGGAGGTGCCATAGTGAACAAAACTCCTTGTGACGCTAGAGATTTGATTTCCATCATGGCCGCTAACTCACAACAATTTGGAT